TGAGTTCGCCAGGTTGCAAGTCGTTGCCTCGAAGTCCAGTCTTGAGCCACTGCAAACTCGGGACGATGGTCTGGGTCGTGTAGCGTCGCGTTGTCTTCGAAGCCTGCATGGCCTTGCCCATGTCCTTTTTCAGGAATGCTGCTCCCATGGCTGCAGTCAAACACAAGGCTGCCGACATCGCGGGTGCTTGCTGGCGCCCGCTGCCGCTGGACCTTGCCTGTCGCAGAACTGGAGCCACCTGAAAAGGACCAGGCGCAACGAAGCAGAGCGGTGCAAACAGCATAGCTGCTGCCGCCATCACCGAAGCGCGTGCCATCGTCACAGGGGGAGGAGCAGCTGCTTCACAACACGACAAACGACCTCGCAAGATCTTGCAAGCCAAAAACTGCGGTGGCCATGTTCGCCCCTGCACAACAGAGCGGCGGGAGCCGAAGCAAACATCTTGCTGAGACGTGTCGCTTGACCTTTGTTGATCGAGCTCATGCTACTCCTTGAAGGGAACAAGCATCCTGACACACCCTCAGTGCGAATCTTGTGATCGCACATCTCGCATCGCTGTGGCATGCCATCCGACTCTACAAATTTACAACTTCAGGGATGGCCGCTGCGAGTCAAAACTTATCAAAATCCGACTGGGCACTTAACAAATCGAGCCCAGATCATTGAATCATGCACGTTCGTGGCAGTGCTGGGGTCCACTGCCCTCAAGATTCGCAAAATATATGATGCATGGCACACACACTGTACAGCTTAGCGTGCTTATTTAGTACTCAATAATATGTGCCGTCATCTTTGCCCTGTATCTGAATTCAACAGCAGGATGGCCGGGCAGAACACCACGACTCCTAGCTGGGAACGGTCCAGAGGGCTTGGTTAAGCCGAAGCCCTCATAGAAGAAAAACCTTGCGGTTACCAAAGCTAAGGCAGACTCACGTCAGGATGAAGTCGCCGTCGAGAAGGAAGTTGGGCGCAGCGCACCGCCAGGGCCAAACCAAGAGCTCAGCCGTCGAAAAGAAGGCACCAGGAACCACCCTGGTCAACTGTACGTGCCGTCGTCTTTGCATCAGCGGCCGAAGCCGGGTGAAGAAGCCGTAGTCGAAGAAGAGAGCGGCCCCACCGAAGAGGACCGCCAGGAAGCCAAGCCAGGAGCTCGGAGCCGTCGTAGAAGGGAACCAGGCACCACGCTGGTCAACTGTACGTGCCGTCGTCTTTGCACCGGAGGCCAGGAGCCTGAGGACGAAGACGCTGTCAAAGTAGAGAGCGAGCACACCGAAGGGAGCCGCCAGGGATCCGAGCCAAGAGCTCAGAGCCGTCGAAGAGGAGAGACCAGGCACCACGCTGGTCAACAGTACGTGCCGTCGTCTTTGCGCCGAAGGCCGGACGCCAGGGCGAAGACGCAGTCAAAGAAGAGCAAGGGCTCCGAAGGGAGCCGCCAGTGCAGCCCAGCCAGGAACTCGAAGCCGTAGGCGAAGAGAACCAAGGAGCCACACTGGTCAACAGTACGTGCCGTCGTCTTTGCACCAGAGGCCGCAAGCCCGAAGACAAAGACGCCGTCAAGGAGAAGCTCACCGAAGGGAGCCGCCAAAAGAGCCTCAGGCACAGTGGGACGCCTCGAAGGCGCCAGAGATCCTGTGGAGTGCAGCAATGGCGGCAGTTTCCCACGCCTTTGCAGCGGCACGTTCCTGACAGCAAGCCTGCCTACCAGAACCCTGTGCCCTTCGCATAGCAATGCGGCGAGCCTCGAGGTCAGCCCGGTGATTCAGGAGGCGCACCGTAGCTTCAGAAAACTGTCCAGGAGGTCGCCAGGTGTCGGGAGCCTTCTTCCCGTGGGAAGGCGTCCAGTGCAAAACAACCCTAACACCATGGCTATCGAGAGCAGCCTGCATCCCTGCAAATTGGTCAAGGATCTTGGCCAAACGTCCATGACCATGTACAGCGTCAATGGCAGACATGCAATCGACGACAACAAAGTAGAGCCCTTTGCGCCGAGCACAGAGGAGCGCCTCGTAGAGCCAGAGCAAAGCTTGGACCTCAGCACGGTACGGCGTTTGGTCCTCACCTGGCAACCCTAAGCCCAAAGTGGGGCCATCCAAGAAGGCGATGGCAGCTGAAGCAACCTCCGTGATCGCTGAGCCGTCCGTAGCAAGCAGGTGACCTTGCGGATCCTCAGGTAAACGGCCGATCACCTCCGCCAACGACTCGACGAAGTCGGGAACGTCCAACACCAACGGTGGCGCAGGCATCTCCTCGACGATCTTGGCCAGCAATCTCTCCTCGACACGGTTGGTAGGAGCCCCAGGAGGGCCCAACTGTCTGGTGTGCTGGCAGGACCATAGCAAGTGAGGCCGGCTGGGCTCCTGAAGACCACATTGACAAGTGACCGGAAGCTGAAGACCATGACGAGCCTGCAGCCACCAAGTAGAGCACCCAGTCACCAGGGCAGCATGCTTTGCAGGCCGGTGGAACTCCTCAAAGTAGCGCACGTGCCCCTGAAACAGAGCCAGCGAACCGTCGGGCACACCAGGAAGGGCAAGGCCACGAGCCAAGTGGACACCATGCCTATGGTAGCTCCTGGCAACCCGACCACAAAGCTGAAGGGCGCGGCGCCTATGCCAGTCCACGAGCCATTGGTGGAGCACCGAAGGGCTGTCAACGTTGAGCCTGAAGTTTCTACGGCAACCCTGAGCATCTGTGCGAGAGATCTCGGAGCCATCTCGCGTCCACCAGCTAAGCTCGCCCAACACTGCGACCGCCGAAGGCAGCAGCCTATGCCAAGGGCGCAAGGCGACTTCTAGGGCCGCCGTCTCTTGCCAAGCACGAAGCTGCCCATGAAGCCGAAGCACCTCAGCGAGGACGGCCCAGTGGCGCTGGAAGACAGGGTCACACTGCCAGCCAAGGACCTCCAAGAGCACGCAAGGAGGCGTGTCAACCAAGAGCTCTTTGCCGAAGAACAGGGCTTCCCTCCGCAGGGCAAGCGCATCAGCCTCAGGAATGATCGCGAAAGCCCCTGCCCACGAAAAGAGAGGCGTCACCATGGATTTGATGTGCATCCTCCGGTGCTGGAGGTAGCACGCCACACAGCGGATCAGTCTGAGCCTGCGCCTGGCACTCACAAGGGAGAACCTGGCAAGCGACGGTGCCACGGCCTTCTCGAAGTCGATGACGATGCCCAAAGCCTCCAACTGAGGTTTGTGTTCATACCCCAACTGTGCAGCCAGTCTGGGGCCCTCAGCACAACTCGAAGACGAGGCCAAACCGCACTTCTTCGGGTCACAGCGAAAGAGCAGAGCGGCGTCATACTCATCACTGCGACGTTTGGCCTCAAGCAGCACCGAAGCCCTGTCGCCAATCATGTAGCGATCGTCAAAGAAAGAAAGCGC